TTTGAAAATTTTTTTTTTTTTTTTTTTTTTTTTTTTTCTTGTGCTTGCCAGTCAGGCGCACCACCACTGAGCTAAATCCCTGGCTCCTGTTTGAGAATTCTGATGCCTAGAGAATAAAAGGAGCATACTTCTCAGAAGTTCACAGTTCCAGCTGGGTTTTTCCCCCACTCTTTGTAACACAGATGGAATTATTTCTTTAGTGCTCTACTCAGGGTATAACATAAATACTTTCTGCAGATGACCATGGGTACAAATAATTTTTATTATTTTGTTATTTTAATGTTTATCAGAAAGTCATACAGAAAGCTCATTGAATCTACTGTTTTGTGTGTATCTGGCCTTGGGAAAATAGCTCTCAGTTGAGGGTGGGGATATTTTGCTTCACTCTGAAGTGCACCTGAACTGACAGGGCTGGTGTTCAGGTTTTCATGTCCTGGCAAAGGGGCACATCATTACGTGTGTGGAGGGCCAAGAATGCGAACTGTTCTGAAATCCTGTGTGGAGAATTGTCCTGTCTACAGTACCAAGAATGCCTCCAAGAGAGATTTGGTAGAAGTAGACTAAGGAAGAAGAAATGAAAGAGTTGAAAATAATTTGAAGAAAAATGCTGACTTTTTAAAAACAGTATTTATAAATTTAAATTGCATTTATTAGCATAATAATGTCCTTGCTATTTTATATGCAGACTTATTTTTTCATTCATTCATTTTATTGGTACATTTTAGGTAGACAGTATGATGACATTCATCTTTGGGAATTTGTACCCTTTCACAATGTATCTTGGTTCTTATCTTTCCCCATTCCCCTGCCGTCCCTTCACCCCCTCCACCCCTCCCTATTTACAAAGATTTTGTTTCCGTTTTTTCCTTTTATATTTTTATTCCTTTTCCTCATTTCCTTTCCCTACCCCTCCCACTTCCCCTTCCCCTTTAGACCTTTTCTTCCTGTTTCACATTATCTGTTACACATTTTAATCCTCATTTACACTTTCAGCTTCTCACACCAGAGAAACTATTCGATATTTTATGTGGCTTTGGTAAGAACGATGGAAGTAGTTTGCAGCTGGCAGGAGTTTGGAACGCACTGTTAAGGATGAGCAGTAGTGGTGAACTTTTATTGGACGGCCTTGTATATAGTGCCACAGCCATGTGTTTCAGAGCCATGCAGATGTGACTTACTCGACGAAGTCATGGTTCTTGAGGCATTTGCTTGGTCTAGGATAGGCTGACAGCCTTGACTGCACGGTAGTGTCATGCAGGGCAGCTTGTGGGAGTGTGGATCCACAGCCCCACTTAGGACCCCCAAACACCATGTGTGAGTGAAGGATACATGCATGAGTGTATTCTGAAAGTCCGTAGGCCATTCTGTGTTTAGCCAAGGTTGAGAACCACTGGTGCAGGGCCTTTTGAAAAAAATCACTCTTTTTCCAAAGAAAAGCCACACCAGTCTTAGAAATGTCAAGTGAAGAGCTATTTCCTGGCCTGCCTTGTAAAGAAAGGGAGATGAGAGACAGGCTGATGGAAGCTCTTCCCCTCCAAAGCAGGAAGCAAAACTATAAACATGTTTTTGTTATAATTACTCCCACTTTAGCCTTCCTAACTTGATTATAGACTTTTTGTGGTTGATTTGGAGAATTTGAATTTTGCCTGGCCTGCTGTGCACCAGGCTTGTGAGTTCCTCATAAAGCATTGCTAGCCAGTGGCTTTCCAGGAAGAAGTCACCACAGCATCCCCCGAAAGGCTATGCACTGTTGAAGGTGGCTCTGGAGATGAGCCGCCAAAACATGGCTGTAGTCCCTTCTTCTAACATGGTTAATGTTCTGGGTACACATCCAGCTCTCACAGTGGGACAGGTCATATTGGGTGGCATGGAAGACCTAGAGTTAAAGAATTGTGTGATTTTAAATTACGAATATATTTGAAGTCAGCCACTAAGTTGCTGTCACAAATAGTTACTAGTAGTTAACCTGTTTCCAATGGTAACATTTTTCAACAGCTCTTGATTTATCGTAGTGTGGATTACCTTCCTCCAGGAAAACTTGATTCTTCAGTGGATAGAGCTAGTCTTAAGCTTTGTAGTCTGCCCTTAACCACGCATTACTTCCTGGTTTAAAAAACAGGCACAGCTATTTGTGGTATTTTTGTCTTGCGCCTTTGGCATCTCAGTGGTGTGAACCAGAGCTATGCCATCTGTAGTCAAGGGAGATAATTAAAGAAAAAAGTGAAATGATTCACTGGAAAATTTCAGCACAGATTCTTAAGGAATGACAAGAGAACCCTAGAAACATTCTTACTTGGTGTCATTTGCTGGTGGGTAATGATAGAAAAAAAGAAGGTACAACTTATTTATTAAGACTGTGCTACTTTAAGGTCTGGGAATGCCGCTTAGTGATGCAGCGCCTGCCTGGCAAGCATAAGGCCCTGAGTTCGATTCCTGGTACAAACAAAAAACAACCAAAAAACTGAAGATCGTGCTACTTTGAAAATTGAAGAGGTGCTACGCTAGAAAGAGAAAGGAAGAAAGAATTTCCATGCAGTGTCAATTAGCAGAGACCTGCAGAGGAGTGAATCATTTTCCTCTTTCTGAATGCAAGTTGGAGCTGGTGAGGTTCATTTCTAGCCTACAGAACCAGAAAGGCAGTCTGGCTTCTGTCGAAGGTTGTCTTGTGTCCTAGTGGGCATCTGTGATAAGCTGCATTATGCTGAGGTAGCAAGAAGCTGGAGGCCTGGTTCCTAGAATGCTGTGTAGCTCTGTGGCCAGATTAAGCCCTTCTGAGAGCTCCTGCATTTCACGCATTCTCACCTAATGACAGGCTCTGACCTGGATGTGCTGGTTTCTGGGAACTCTTCTGGAGTCCCAAGTGAGATTTGCCTGAAATATGGTGTCTTTTTCTCTTCTTCTTTTCAGAGAGAAGACATGGCTCATCCAAGCCTTCTTTGGCCGTCCCTCCCACTTCAGTATTCCCCTTCTTCCCTTCTCTGTCCAAAAGCAAAGGAGGCAGTGTGAGCGGGAGCAGCCGCCCTTCCAGCGGAGGGCTTCTGAGCCCGGCCTCCTCCAGTTCCAGGTTGCTGAAGTCACCCAAAGAGAAACCGCAGCTTCGGGGAAACACCAGGCCAATGCACCCTGTTCAGCCAAGTAGAGGCCCGCACAGCAGAATGTGAGTGTGGTGCGAGGCTGTTTGCACCTGCCCCACTGGGACACACGAATGTGCCGACACCGTCCTAGTGAGTGTGTCTGTGAGCCCCTGGGGCAATGAGTCTGAGTTGTTGACTCTTCCTGTTTCCCTGTCTCGTCCGAGGAGACTTTTCAGAGCAGTAATAGCAACATTGATAAGGTTAGTCATATTTAATGGTCCTTTACTACACCAATTCCTGAAGCTCAGCTTGGGTACTTTGTCATTTCATTACCACAGCATCCCTGGGGCGTGGGCAGTGGTTGTCTCCATTTTCCAAATAAAAAGAAAGATGGTTGAGTTGAGCTTTGAGAAGACCTCAAGTCACATAGGCCAGAGTTCAGACCCTGCCTGTGCCACTTCCTAGCTGAGGGCAGTGGTCAGGTGGGGTCGAAGAGGAACAGCCAAGATGCAGTTACTGGGGTATTCAGTTTGATCCTGTCAGGTGCCCGCGGTGTTTCTGAGATGATGCCTGCTGGTACCAGGAGGGGAGGGGTTCCCAGGTGCTGCAGGGAAGCAGTGCATCCTCGCCCAGCCTGGGGTTCGTGTCACAGCAGTGCTGAGGGGGGCTGAAAGAACGTCACTGCTTGGCTCGGTAGGTTCCCAGGTGGGTGTGGCAGTTGGCAGCCTCCGTGGATCCCATGGAAGCCTTGCCTTGTCAGGGCACCCCTCGGCCTGGTGGCAGGTGTCCCTCCCTGCTGCCTCTCTGTGGGGGCCGTGCCGCACATTTCAGTCCCAAGGCGCGGTCCCACACCTGCTGCTGCTCCAGGCCTTGCCGTCTTCCAACACATCTGCTGCTGTCAGGCTGCTCTGGATACAGCCGTTTGGGGCTGTTTTCCTGGTGCTGAGCCCCCAGCCCCCACTCACCTGTCAGAGTACAGTATAGGAAGCTTGGCTCTCTGTCCTTTATAGCTGTCTGAAAGCCAAAGAAAATGCCAGTGTGACGTGTAAGTCACCGTCAGTTTAACAGCCCTGAGTGCATATTGCACTGAGTGGTTTGTAAAACCTCATCATTCCAGATCTTCATAAGGAGCTAGGGCTTTCAATGAGGACCAGGCCCCCTGTTAGCATCGGGGTTACCAGGTACAATGGCGGTGTGAGTGCTTGTTCATGGCACCGGTCCCCAGCACTCACCCACTGTGATCCAGGGGCCTGGGTTCTAAGCTTCTGCCATAGAAACCTTTTTCCACTTTCAGTGACACACACGCCACGTAGTAAGTAAACTTTGGTCTTCCTCATTGCTAGGAGCCTTGCCTTAGGGATACAGTTTTAGGCACCTGTGTAAGTCTTTAGTGACATTTCTTGGAAAATACAGTATTTGCCCACTCAGAAGTTTGGTTTGTTTGGTTGGCTCCTTTTTTAAATCAGTGGTTCTTACAGGATATTCTCTTAAGTGTTCTTCAGGGATTCTTTGGTCCTTTCAGGCCGTTTCACATCTTGCTTGTTGCCGAAATTGCATTGGTCGCCAGGTCTGAGTGGTTTCCGAGGTCCATGTGTAAAATTTTCCCAGAGTGATGAATGACAAGTAAAATTGATGATCCACGGGGACTTCAGTTACCCAGCAATCCTTAGAGATGGAATAAGTGTGACCCTTACCGGGGCTCCGGGAGGCTTGCCTGGGCCCTGCCCTGGCCTGGGGCTGTGGGGCACTCAGGCGCAGGTGTTGTTGCTCCCACACAGCATGACACCCTCTGTGAAAGTGGAGAAGATCCATCCAAAGATGGACGGCACACTACTGAAATCTGCAGTGGGGCCGAGCTGTCCTGCTACTGTGAGTTCCTCGGTCAAGCCTGGCCTTAACTGCCCCTCGATACCAAAGCCAACCTTGCCTTCACCTGGACAGATGCTGAATGGCAAAGGGCTTCCTGCACCGCCCACTCTGGAGAAGAAATCTGAAGACAGTTCCAATAGGAAGTTTTTAAATAAGAGATTATCAGGTAACCCCACACTTGTCTGTATATTTAAATGGGCATTCGCAGGGAGCAAACTGACTGCTATCTGGACGTGTAGCTGCAGCTGGAGGAGGGATTCCCCGTGCAGCATGCTCTTATTTCTTCACTCTAGCTTTTAAAGTGTGTGCTGGTGTGTGCGCGTGAGCTTAGGTTATGTGAGAAGATCTCTTAGTGGTTGCTTCTGAATGTATTCACGCGGTAATGCTAATGTGACTTTTTCCTGTCACTGAAGGCCACTGTAGTCAGTGCCCTTGCTGCTTCCTCTTTGTTTTAATTTTGTACTGGTCCGTGTTTGCGATGTGTAATGGCCACATTCCTCACGTGGAGTGGGTGCACGTATGTGGCGCATCCAAATTCTTCCTTTATCCCCTTCCCCACCCCTCCCTCCCATCTTTTGGTTCCCTTTTGCAAAAGATCTATCTCCCCAGTTTGTGTCATCTGTCTTTTTATTTTGCTCTTTATTTATGTTTTGGGTTTCTTATATAAGAGGAACCATGTGGTATTTAAGCTTGTGTGTCTGATTTATTTCATTTAAGATTAAGGACTAAAGGTGTATCCATTGTACTGCAGATGACTCGTGTTCATCCTTCTGCACTCTGCTGTGTAGATATACCACATTTTCTTTTTCCAGTCACCTGTTGATAGTTTATTGATAATGTGATAGGCTTTACTTAATTATAATCTATCTGTCTTGAGATTTCTCATATTTTCTTACTTACAAAATAGATGATGGAGTATTTGAAAAGCCAATTACAATGTCTGTGTGCTTTTCACAGAAAGAGAGTTTGATCCTGACATCCACTGCGGGGTCATTGATCTCGACACCAAGAAGCCCTGCACTCGGTCTTTGACGTGCAAGGTAGGTGAGCACCCGAAGGCAGGGTGGACTTGGGGACACAGCGCCCCCCATGGGTGGTACTGTCCCGCCCCTGGAGCCCACGCTCTGTGCTTTGTCCCAAGCTGCATAAAGGCAGAAAGACTTGGTTCTGATGAGAAGCCTCACATTGACAAAATGTAAAGTGTCACTGTAAATTACACTCGTAGAAGAGGTTTTGCTTAGAGTTTTATATACTCCTGGAGAGTAGTACTCTTTCTTGATCAGTCTCTTATTTTATTTGGATTTTGTTTTGTAATACGGATTGCTTCTAAACCTTTTGGGGAAAAGGCAAAATTTAAGTGTCTAATTTTTGACCAGACATGGTGGTGCACACCTGTGAGTCCCAGCACTCAGAACGCTGAGGCAGGAGGAGAGCCCCAAGTTCAAGGCCAGCCTGGACTACATAGTGAGACCCTATCTAAGAAAAGAAAAGCAAAATAAAGAAACATCTAATGTCTTAAAACACAGGAAAAAGGCCCCCGCACCTGCATATTCTGACTTGCTTTCCATGTGGGGTTGATGGACACCCCATCAAGTCTGCCTGTCATCTGTGGGTAGCAACTCCTACCACCACACAACCGCCTTTGCCTTTCCTGGGATGCTCACTGAGACCGCGCAGTGGGGTGTCATCCCCGCTTCAGTCCTGAGGACGGCAGGCCACTCTGTGGGACTCTGTCAGCTTCACCAGCCCTGAGGGGAGGTGGGGCCCAGTCCTGCTTACCACCTGCTCCCTTCTGGGTGATGAGCACGACTGCTGGTGCTGGATGTCTGTGGTCAGTGATGGATGGTTTCTTTATCCAAGACACTCTTTTAAGTTATCTGCAAAGCATGATGGTGAACCAGAGTCTTCTTTAAATTTTATTTCTCCATGGTGAGAACATTGTAGGTGACACATGCCATCTTAACATTGGAAATCACAGGACTGTTGACTCTGTACAGTGTGGTACAGCATATCTTGGACTTACTCATCTTGTTAACTTGAATCCCAAGTTCCTGGGAGGCCTGGGTTCCCTTCAGACTGAGCCAGGATGGCACTGCCTGCTGCCTGCCCTGGCAGTCCTATGCTCAGTGGGTCTGTGAGAGCCTGGAAGACCAGGGACAGTGACTGTGCACCCCTTCCTTCAGCACGAAGGGGGCCGCTGTTTCTGTTGAGGCATTTGTGGACTGGCAAGCACTCTTCTGGGTACTGGTACACCACTGAGGAGAACAGCGTTTCTTGTCCTCACGTAGGTTACTTCCTGTGTCACATACTAGAAAGAATCAGTTGAAAATGCAAAGCAAGCAGACACGTTTATTTGTGCTAGGTTAGACTTTGGGTGGGATGGTGTGCAGTATGTTTAGTAAGGTGGTAGGTTTTGTTAATGAATTTCAAATGGAAGTTCGAAGAATAATTCCCTTAAGTTCCTTTAAGTGTGCAGCAAACATGCAGAGCAGTACATCTGTTCAGTGGTGTTTTGTAACAGAGGAAGAAGCGTGTGGACGAGCTCACTTAGGTCCGTGGATATGTCTGTGACTAGGGCGCTACAGTCAGGCATGCGCCTTGCTCCTGAGGGTCAGGGTTCTTGACAGGCCCAAACCCCAGCAGAATCATGTCTCATCAGTCAGACTCGACTGCCACCAAGAGTCACCCAGCTCTGACCGTGTCATACTTGACCTTCTGCTACTAGCAGTAGCTAGCAGTCGGCTTCGAGTACCTTGGCTTTATACCGTGCCAGTAATTACGAAATGCATCTGGTATGCAGACATTTTCTTACAAGCTGTGTTTCAGCCCCAGGTATGTATCGTGGCCCTATTAAAGCCATCAGTGCCACGAATTGACTTCTTTTTCCTCAGTGTGCCCATTCCTGACTGACGTCAGACACTCAGCACGCTTGGGAGCTGAGTGTCCAGGTTCTTGATTTCACCCCGAGAGTCTGTCTCTAGGGTTGCTCTACTTGACACCTCCTCCTATTTGCTGCCCACCCCCACCTCATCTTTTCAACTTCTCTAACGTTGTCTTTGTCAGGAGCAGTCTGTGGCTCCAGAATACTTTGAGCCACTTGCTCTCTTTCCATGGTATTTTCATTGGAACAGAGGGAAACAATTGTGTTTAAATTTTTTCTCTCTGGCTGTTATTACAAGAACACTCTCTAATATATATATCTTACGAGATAATTGTTTCTTTAAATTAGCATTCAGAAATTTAAACAGTGGAAAGAAGGATTTTTTTGTAATGGCGTTTGTGAGAACTTCAGTGAACAAATTGCTTTAATGGCATCAAACATGATTCCCTGTTCCCTGCGTCTGCTGTTCACCATTCGGTCACATAGCAAGTGAAGCAGCAGACACTTCTCTTTCCTTCTGCCGGAAAAAGCCTCCTAGGTTCTTCTCAGTTGGTCTAAATACGTGCTTTTGGCCTAGCTGAGGAGAGAGGTGGTCAAGCGCTTAGGACTTTCTGCTTATCAGATGTTGAACAGTCTTCATGCCAGTGGTTTAGATGACTTTAATAGAGAGTGTTCTTTTAGGATGTATGATGAAAATTATTAATGAGGTTCCTGTTTCCATATTTTGTTCTGTAGACACATTCCTTAACCCAGCGGAGGGCTGTTCAGGGTAGAAGAAAACGATTTGATGTGTTATTAGCCGAGCACAAAAACAAAACCAGGGAAAAGGAATCGATTCGCCATCTGGACTCTCAGCAACCACTGCAGCCTCTCAGGGACCCGCACCCCGCCCCTCCCCGAGCGCCCCAGGAGCCACACCAGGGAGCTCGCGGGGCGACTCCCTCCGAATCAAAGCCTTTCGTAGCTAGTAACCCCAAACCGAACACCCCCAGTCTTCCGAGGTAAGCACAGCCTCCACCTCTCCCCCTCAGAGCCCGCACCGGTAGACCTTGTGAGGCCTCAGGCTCTCTGGGAGGGAGGGTACCGCAGGTTCTAATTGAAGACGCTGTTGAGGCTCGCAGTAAATCATTCCGGGTGCTCTTGGTTTCAAATCCAAGTAGCAGTGTAAAGCTAAAAGTATCTGTTCTGCACCTATTCAGTATCAGGTGTCTACACCGCTGAGCGAGCTGCAGCTGGTCCTGCCTGCAGGTTGTGGATGTGAGCATTTCCCGGGGCTTTGGAAGCGGTTTTCCATCATTGGTTGCTCCTTGCCGAGTACAGCCATGTGAATTCTTGCTGAGGACAGGCATCCAGCCTGAGTTTCTGACGGCATCTGCTCGTCAGTGTGGTTTTTCATTCATTCACTTGGGGCTTGGCTCTGTGTGCAGATTGGGCATTTTATTTTGGCAGTGAAGTTATCAGCAGTGGATCAGGTGTTTTAAGGACAGTTTGTCACATACATACCTCGGGGAGAGTGGTGCTGGAGTAAGTGAGTTTGCACTTATATATTCAACCAAGTGGCAGAAAAGGACTTGAGGCCCAATTTCCAGAGACGGGAAGGAGAAAGGCCTAGAGTGAGGAGCTTCAGTGCTGGCTGTAGGCAACAGGGCTTCTGCCAGGAATGTGCTTGCCTGTTGGTGGCTGCTGCTTTTGGTTCCTGCCTGACCCTGGAAGTACTGCCTTGTGGCGAACCCGTGTGCCTGAGCCTGTCCCAGATTGAGCCTGTGCTTCTGAGCAGTACCCTGGAGGGGCGAGTGGAAGTGGCTCCCCAAGAGTGCTCAGGCCCCAGCCAGAGAGGCCTTAGTCCTTTCCTTGGCCGTCTCCTCATTGAAGCTTCTCCATCTATAAAAGGTCAGCTTCATTTTGGGACCCCCAGGCCATCGTAGATGCAGGAGGAAGACATCACTGTCCCTGAGGAACAGGCTCCAGACTGACCACAGAAAGTCGGAATGGGAATGCTGCCTCATTCCTTTATCCCCTCCCTCCCTTCTCGGTCATTTTATTTATTGCCCTAGTAACTCAGAGCCAGTTGAAATGTGGAGCAAGGCCAAGAAAGAATCCTCTCAAACCCTGCATGCATCTCCCCCTCTTTGGGTTATGAGTGGCTTTGGAAGGGAGGACCGGTCATAAGTTGTCTTTGTGTACATGGGTAGCCAACTTACCTAGCAGTTTCTCTGCTCCCTGGCCCCCAGATCAGCGTGTGTCCCCAGGGCTGGTGGTGGAACTCCACTCCGCCCCTGGGTGGCTTTGATAACTGGTTGCGGCTGAGTTAAGGTGGCTGCTTCGTGGGCTGTGATCTGATCCATGCTGCACTTTCTGCTCACCAAGGCCTCCAGGCTGCCCTGCTCAGCACGCTGGGAGCGCCCCCATTGACCCTCCTCCAGTCCATGAGTTTCCTCACCCTGCCCCGCCTGCCTCTGAGCCAGCTTCTCGGTTATCCAGTGAGGAGGGCGAAGGCGATGACAAAGAAGAGTGTGTTGAGAAACTGGACTGCCATTATTCAGGTCATCATCCTCAGCCAGCATCTGTAAGTGCCACGTCCACCCCGCGTTGACCTCCCCACAGCATGGACAGGGTCCTGCAGGGGGTGCACCAGGGCCGTGGCACACGTACCCATGTGTGGGACACCAGGGTGTGTGAGCAGCTCAGAGCGGCGCCCAGAGGAGCACGCGCTGTGTCCGGGACGTGTGCTTTCCTTATCTCCATGAGACTCACGGTCACACTTCACAGTCATTGGTACTCAGGGCAGCTCCCTCTTCTTCACAGCTCCTGTCTCGAAGGAGAGAGAGCCCCGGCCAGTGTGCTGGAGTCTGAGGCGGCAAGCACATGTCCCGTGTTCTCTCTTCCAGTTTTGCACGTTCGGGAGCCGGCAGATCGGCAGAGGCTATTACGTGTTTGACTCCAGGTGGAACCGACTTCGCTGCGCCATCAGCCTCATGGTGGAGAAGCATCTGAACTCACAGCTGTGGAGGTGAGTGCCTGCTGGGTGTGGAGCTAAATGCCCGCGTGGCCTGCAAGCAGCCCTGGGAAGAAAAGCTGCCCGCTCAGACCCCTTCTGTCAGGGGCTGGGGTTCCAGGTGGAAGGACTCCCACACACGCTTAGTTGGGAGTGGGGAGGCAAAAACCAGTCAGCCGAAAAGTAAAGAGATTGCAGCTTGTCCTTGGGCAGCTGCTGGCAACAGTGACAGGCACACAACCCTGAGAGCTGTGCCCGGAGCTTGCTGACCATGTTCACCTTTCACCGTTCTGTCAGGTGCTACGACGAGATACAAGGTCACATGTCAGATTAGTGATAGGGCCAGGATTTGTTTCAAACAAAGGTCTGCAGTGGGGAGAGACTAGGCCAGGGGCCCTTGGGGTTCTGCTCTCTAAGGAGGGACGAGTGGGTCTAGGCTAGAGGAAGCAGACCTGTGAAGATCTGGAGTGGGAAAGGAGCAGTTTGGGCAACAACAAGAAATCAAGCACAGTGCCGGACGAGGTCCGAGAGGCCAGCAGCTGCTGGGCTGGATGTAGAGTAGAGCAGACGGCTGCTCAAAGGTTTAGAAACATGGGCCTGATTGGCAGTTGAAGACTTCTTGTGTGGTGCTCCATGGGCTAGTGGGGCGCTGGACCCACAGCACATGTGCTGCAGCAGGCTGTTTGTCTGCAGCTCTCAGGCTTGCGACCCTGCCCGGGTGCTTCTCAGACATGGTTTGAGTGGAAAGAGAGGCCCGTGGCCACTGTCCCAAGTGCAGCCTCACTCGGGTGCACTGCTGTCTGTACCCAGGCCTGCTCGGAGAGGCCGGGCACTGTCCTTTGTCCCTCAGAGCAGGAGGTGCCAGTGGGAGGTAGAGCACTCCCCAGACTGTTTGACCTGGGAAACGTTTAGGGAGCATTGTGGAGGACTAGGGTTTGGTGGCACCCACCTTGGTGAACGTGGAGCCTTGCCTGTGGGGACCGTGTGAGTGGCTGTGCCGATGCATCCACTTGCTTGCCCTGCTCTCCTGACCTGGAGAGGCTGCTCGGAGCCCGGGTGGTCTGCAGCCCAGAGACCCGGCTCCGTGGCCCAGGGGGTCTCACACTGGTGTGTGCCGGAGCCACAGCCTGGCCCTCTGCTGCTGCACTTCCCATCTGCCCGGTTCTTCCTGAAGGAGCATGGCCCTGCCCGGGGGCAGATCTGGGGAGTGGTTTGTGGGGTTTGGAGTTCTCTCCCCATGCGAACACCCCAGAGACCTGAGGTCTGAGCTTCCGGTTTGTGCAATGCCCGGTGGCGGTGGAGAACCCTGTGTCCCTGCATGTGCTGTGCTGGTGTCCTGCACGGGGCGAGGGCGCCCAGCCCCAGGAGCGAGCGTGTGGGACAGGTTTCGCTGTCCGTACAGTTTGCTCAGAGACAGCACGGTCGTGAGGCTCACTGTGCGGCTGTCTGCTCACTTGCTCCAGGGAGGGAGAGACAGTTCCTGTTAGTGGGACTTCTGATTGCTTTTGTTTCTATTTCCTTTTTTGTTTTGTTGTGTTTGTTTGTTTGTTTGGTTGGTTGGTTGGTTGGTTGGTTCGGGGTTTTTTGAGACAGAATACATATGGTCTACAGTTCTCCTGCCTCAGCCTCCCTGTGATAAGTTTACAGGCATGTGCCACCACATCAGCCTGGGAACTCTGTTGTGTTGTTTTGTTGTTTTGTTTTCATGCCCCTGTGCTTGAACCCAGGGCTTCACACTGAGTTACACCCCCTACCCCTTTTTTATCACATTCCTGCCAGCTTGAACTGCTGGTGGTACAGGCATGACTGTCCCACTGGGTGGCTTTTTATTAATTTTATTAGTAAAAAGAATGATAAGTTATTAGATGCGTTTGTACCACCAATGGCACAAGCCGCCTCATGGGACAGTTATGCGTGTCTGGTTGGGCTCAAACTTGTAGTCCTCTTGTCTCAGCCTCCCGGAGTGCTGAGATTACAGAGAAGTGCCACCGTACCCCGCTGAGCCTCTGGCTTTAAGTCAGTACAGCAGTGACAGACTTGTGTCTCTGGGATGAGCTGGCACCTGGCTAGAGCAGACCCAGTCTCGGTGCCGAGATGCTTCTGACACGGGGTGCCATAGGCAGATGTCCAGAAGCCACCCCGGCATCCCTGGGACTTGCAGGGTGAGCTCTGTACTCCTAGCAGAGGAAAATGAGCACCGCAGAGATGCCCATAGTGGCCCAGGGCCCATCCCTTGCTCAGCCCCAGCCTCACCTTGCCCTCCCAGCCACACTCAGTGGTCTTCCTCCTGGCCCTCCTCAGCGGCCCGTGTGGTGAGTGGGAAGGGAGTAAGGACAGGACTGCAGTGCCCTCCTCAGCAGTGCTGGGGACCAGAAGCCCTTGCAGGCTGGTCTTTCTGGCACTGCCTACCACTCAAGATCTGGGGCCCTTCTCTGCCCTCCTCAGAGCCCGGGGTGGTCACAGAATGATTCGCTTGTTTTTGTTTTTAACTATTTGAATTGGCAAAACCCACTTGGCTGAAAAATACTACTTGAACATAAAGAGGCATAAAGTGAAAAGCCTCAGGCCCCCCAGATCCCTCCCTCCTGGTCGCCTCCTAACCCCACTGATGGAACTACCCTCCTATTTGTTTCTTTTTTTTTTCTTTTTTGTACTGGACATAGAACTTGGGTCCTTGCACTTGCAAAACAGGTGGTGGCACCACTGAGATAAATCCCTGGCCTCCTATTCATTCCTTGTGTGTATTTATAGTTTACTTATGCAGGTCAGTGTAGCTATGTTTATGTTTGCCTCCTTTCTGTTCATCAGAAGGTAAAGAATTATCTTAAAAGAGCTTTTTGGAAAGGAACCAGTAATTGTCACTCTGGGAGACTCACAGGCTTTTCCTTAGAAAATCTGGTCTTTTGGCTAGAGATTTGGCTCTGGTTCTGATGCCTGCCTCGCAAGTGCAAGGGCCTGAGTTTGATCCCCAACACCAAAAA